AAGCACTGACCTTTTGCCTACAAACACACATGCACACGCACACAGATACTAATTAGAGCCTGGAGTATTTTTGCAACCAACGAGTCCTTCAGAAAATAAGTACATTGGCCACTTCTTCACATGTTCTTAAATTCATGTTTTACCTGCTTTAAAAATGCTCTTCAAAAATTGTTGTCCCCTCTACTGTGCCGATTGTAGGTTCTCTATTCCTTTGAAGATTGATCCCTTTAGAGTTGCATCAAGACCATTTTATCATGTTTGTTTATTTAGCCCTCCAGATCTTACTGAATATTTGAACTTGTTTTGTATCTCATGCCCCCGGCTGTTTTCATGTGTTTTTGGTGTGGCAGCTGATTGCTCTAGAGGGACTTTGAAAGATGTTTAATTAATTGCATCAAGACATTTTGAGAGGGATCGTTTATGACTTCAGAACCCTTTTTGTTTTCTGGATTCAAACACTCATCGACATAGATACATGTATGTCAAACACTCATACACAATTCATACATGCTCTTCCGCTCTATCCAAACACACACAGTAGGTAGCTGAGAGAGGTCAGAGAGCTGCATGCTTTCCCAGCTGCTGTCTGGCGTCCCACAGCTGTCAGCACCTTCTACAGCACACACACACACACACACACACACACACACACACACACACACACACACACACACACACACACATACACATACATACACACACACACACACATACACATACACACATACACAGTATCTGGAAAGGGGGAAAAAAAAGACCTCTCAGCCTGCCTGGTGCCACATTCATTTTTTCAAGAAAGTTACACGTACACACGCACGCACACACCAGTGGTCCCATGGGTCAGTTGTTTCTGTGTCACTCCAGTGAACCACACATTTGGCAGACTTTAAAGATGAGATCGGGGTCGGGGATTTGGCTCGGACGCAGATGGCGACCTGATATCATGAAGACTCAATTTGAGACTTCAATTAGAGTAACGCTGGACAAAAAAAAAAATCTCCGAGGAATTCCGCCGTGTAATTACTATCACGCATGGATAGGCATAACACTTAATAAACATCGACCCACGGACGCGTTGCGCACAGACTGAACACTGGAGAAATATGCAGCCCTGAGGGGGAAACGCGTGTCACCCCTTCACGGGCTTTGAAAATGTCTGTTTCCTGTCAGTACGTGGATGAGGGGACACTGACACGCGCTGACAAGCTCCACCAGTATCAGGGGAAATGTATTTACTGGACTGCTGTGTGTGCACATTGAAAGCACTTGACCCCGTGGACTCCTTAATGTGCATCTTTTTTTTTTTTCATTCAGAAAGTAAACCAATCCACTCGCGTATATGTAAGCATAAAGCAAAATGAAGGCAATGTGCCCAAATCATACCAAGCCAAGCTGACGCAAGTCTACAAGGCCACCTCACTGAGGCCTTGGTCGGCATTAGTATTCAGCTCCATATGCCCCTATTGTTAGGCCCCCGGCGGAGGAGAGGGAGGGTGGGAGGAGAAAGGGAGGCGTGAAGAGGAGGCGGCTGATTTAATTTCTTTTTCACCCTCTTTAATAATGGCTTATAGTAGCTATGTTGAGACAGGCTGCACGCTGCGCTGAAACTGTAGCCAAACAGGGACCAAACTCACAGATAGAAGTTTTCACTTCAGCAGCAGAACAAAGGAAATGACTCCAATATAGATTTGAGTAAATAAAAGGCACGGCAGAGGGGAAGCTCAGTGATGCGTTAAACTTTCTGAAGGAGATGCTGTTATACAGTCACCGTCAATTCAACTTTTATTCCTCTCTATTAACCCAGTTTTTGAAGTCTTGTGTTAATCCTGGCATCACTGCGTCGCAGCAGCAGAATGTGTCGCAACTTCGCCGGAGCCCAATCCTATATTTTATATTAAGGATAATTATGACATAAACATATTAGCTGCAACAGCAACATACAAGCTGCGGGAATAATTCACTGCTTTATAATTTGTAAGGAACACAAATAAGAGCGTGTTAAGTAGTAAAGCCTACAAAAGTCCATGATGAGGGAACAATGGGCCATTAAGTAGTCGGTCTGTGCCACAAACGGCGGGTGCTCCACCCCCTGATTTCGTTACCCAAAGGCATAAATTTCAGGCCAAAGCACCGCACGCATTACATCCTTTCAAACAGAGACACTATTAATCAAGTTGAGTAACTTTTTTTTCTTTTTTTTACAGACAGAGGTCACCTCCACACAAAAGGCGCAGCTCAAAGCAAAAGTCCAGGCAGCGGTCAAGAGGATTACACTGAGGATCTGCTGTAAAAACTATACGAGCTATCCAAAGCTATGTGTGACTATGACATATGGGGCAAAGTGGGGTCTCAAACACAGGGGTGTGGTAGTATGGTGTGAGTCAACATGGAAGAGCTGCTGGAATCCAAACATGCAGTAAAAGGCACTCAAAGTTCTTACCAGCTGGCGCCTTAGTGTCAAGTTTTCCTGCCCCCAGCTGCTGAAACACGCCAGCTCCCCCCTGGAGCTGTCCTGAGGAAAGAGGTTTCCCAGAGCCAGCGCCCCCAACACCAGACACTCCTGCCTCTGCTTGCGGAGCTCCAGCTCACACAGTCCGGCCAGACTCGCCTCCAGACGCTCCTTGGTCCGACTGCGCTCCACCGTCACCGGGAACGAGAACGCACGGTGCATATCCCTAAAAAGAAAAATCCCAGCCTTCTACGCAGAATTTCAGTAATTATTCCGCTTTCCTTTTTTGGGGGGTGTCTCCAGTTGGCCCAGATTTACGAGGGCATTCGCAGTCTATTAATGGCCATGCTGCATCCCATTCCTTCTGAAGGTATGGTTGCCTTGGAGCAGCATGCTTTCCCAGATCTTCTATGCGCTATACATTTTCCATTTCGCAGCTGTCAAACGAAGCCACGGAGCCCCGCCTTCTGCGTCCAGCCACGACGAGAAAGTGGGAGTCATCATCCCCCCTTTGCAAATCCAATCCAAGCCGTCATTGGATATGAGAGGCTGGTGGGTGCTGCGCGTAACGTTGTCCCATCCCCCTTGATTCATTAGAGTGACGACTCGACCTCACCCATTTTTCCCATCTTGGCCTGGGACTAATGGGCTACTTTAAGGGATGCCTGTTTCTGGCAGTGTAGTAAAACACTGTGATTTTATTATACTGAGACTATTTAAAGCCACTATGTTTTATAACAAGACTGAAATAGTGCTGTAAAAAAGAATATCAGTTAGACAGTATGCAGTAACAATGACAGGGAGGCTGTAAAGTGCAAACATAAACACATACTTGATATAAAGAAATGTTTTAAATTGAATACAAGAGGCCACACATAAGAAAGGAATGAAGATTAAAAATGTTGTCTTTGGGGCATCCTGGCTATCTAAATTGGGATTTTTTTGTCTTCTGTTTTCATAGAAAACGATCACATTTCTGTTTATATTGAATGTGTTCTTTGAATCCCCTGTGCTGCATGTTGAGCACATCCATGTTTGGAAAACAAACAAACAGAAAAAAAACACATTTGATTTGACGTTTTCCATTTCTTTTAATCAAGTGACACATTTCAGACATTTCTGTGTCATCCTGTTTGTCTTCAGCAGCAGGGGCGATTCATATGTTGGGACCATAGGCAAAAATGAAATTGGGAGCCCCTCTGACCCCCGTCTGCCAGTGTCCCAACCCTCTTACTCTTTCTTTAATGATTCCTCTTCATTGTTCTTCAGTGACTTTCATTGACAAACTTTGGTTTTCACAGAAGTAATGCATGATATGCTAAAGCAGAGTAATGAGAGTGATAATGAGAGTGGTGCCCTATTAGGGGGGTTTCCTACTTGCAAAATTAGCAAGTTTAGAGATACTGCTGCGGTTTAAAGTTTGTCAGCCCTCAAGTCATGGCCGGTTCTAGGCAGGGGCCAACAGGGGCTGTAACACTGAGCTTAGTCCCCCATGTGGCCACCCCTCCAAAAGGAAGAGCCCCCCTCATAACACATACACAGTATTTAACTCACATTCTGGTATTAAGTTCTGATACTGAAACAAATATAAATCATGGTATTTAATGATGTGCGCTATTATTTGGCATAAATATATTTTAAAGTGATCATCTTTGTCTATTTTTCACCTGGGTTTAATGTTCCCCTCTGACAAAACAACTGGCCCCAGTTTGGCCCCCACAGTAAAAGTGTCTCAAGGGCCCACTACTGGCCTGGGGCCCCCTGAGCAGTTGCCCGCCTTGCCTGTTTACAAGCAGCACCTCTGTTCAGCTGCTTCCTCTCCAAATTGAGAATCTGAAATGTTCTCTCAAAAACAAAGAGGTAGCTTTGTTGTTGCCCACCTGGGAGTCTGAGGGAGCTCATGAAAGAAGTTTTGATCCCCAAAATTTAGAGATGATTTTGAATAAAAATCTTGTCTGAAAATCAAACAAATGTCTGCCCGAACTTATCTGAAGTTCGGAAACTGTAATGTAAACAACAGATTTCAGTTTCTCAATATACTTCCCACAGCGTTGGCTTTTTGATCAACTTACATTTTGATCCCTTGTATTATGGTGAAAAGCATCCTGATTGTTTTAAAAGTTATTGTAGTCATCTGGCATCAACTTTCAGCTGCAGTCGCCTGCTGAGTTATATTGTAGAAGCAGTAGTTAGTGGGTATTTCACTAATTACAATGGAACAACAGGGAGGAGAAGAATCCAGGGAGCACACTGAAGAGAAGAAAATGGTGCTGTATGCCAAACTCCCCAAAATAACAATGCTTTCAATATGTGAGGTAAATTATTCATAGTTCGTCTGAATTTATTTATTTTTATTTCTAAGTGCAGTAAAAAATGAATATTTAATCTGGGTGCCTCATACAATCTTCCTTAACAAAACACTTCACTGTAAAGTCTCCTGAGGTCAAACATACTCACTTTATAAGAATAACGTGTTTCCTGTCAGGACAACACTGTTCCTGTAAAAAGACTAAAAATTTATAAACGGCAACAAAAAAACCCAGCAACACTATTTGTTTATCATATATATTTTTTATTCATACTTCCCAATCTCTACTTCACATGAACCAGAAAGCCACTTTCATCTTCAGTCTCTATGAGGCAAAGTCATCGGCAAATCAAAAACCTACGCGCAGCGCAGGTCGGATTCCTTTGACAGTGTGTGTATGTGTGCACACTGCAGATATACGCAACATATACTTAGAGTATATTTTTTATCTCCGTAGAAATTTCACTAAAAGTCTCTCTCTAGAGATCAAAACATTTTCTAAAAAAAAAAAAAAAAAAAAAAACATACAGTAGAATTATTTTTGAACAGAACTACACCAGTACATATTTCATAAAGACACACCCAAAGAAGAGAATTTCGCCATGAGTTTGATCAGTGGTCATTTCAGGAGGTTGTGTGTGTGTGAGATTCAATCGAGGCTGTTACTTAGTACTGGGTGGTTAGGGTGGCACTAATGACCCGCTGACTCTGTGACAACAAGGCAAATGCCAATTAATACAGTCAATGAAGCGCATAATTCATTAGTTGTCAGAGACAAAGCAGCGGCATTCAGAACTCCTGGGTCACCTTGGTTTCACAGCTGTGCAGGGATAGCAATCATACAATCATTCGAGTAACGCAGATAACTGCAGGCTAGAAAAAGAGCGAAAAACAAAACCAAAAACCTGTGAGATAATCGAGGTGATTTGTCAAATGCGTTGGTACAAATGGGAAATGTTGAGTTGTGACGGGAATGATGAAGGTTAAAAACGACTTTTCTTAGGGGCTGAGGGAGGAGCTTAATTTGGACCAAGAGGAGGATGTGTCCATTTCTTCAAATGTATCCTTTCACTAAAAAACAAAAGCAGCCACAGTAGGAGAGGAAAAACAACGTACTCAAGCATTTACCATGTCCTGTTCCAAACAGAAGGTTTGTAGTTTTCAAACATACAAAAAAATAAAAATAGAATTCAAGCTGAAAGAGGAAAATCCATTTCATCATACACTTAAAAACAACAACCTCTTTAAAGCATGTCCATCACTTTTTCATATCATTTCTGTACCATCATGTACATGAAGCCGAACTTCAAACTGTCTTTCATTGTCATCAGGATTGTGAAAGGGATTTCAATACAACAGAAAAGCTTTCCAACCACTCACATTCAGGTCTTAAGGTTTCATGTGTTATCATTACTCAGTGCCTTCTTCCACCGTAAGTCATACGCACACACACACTCGCACACACACACACACACACACACACACACACACACACACACACACACACACACACACACACACACACACACACACACACACACACACACACACACACACACACACACACACACACACACACACACACACACACACACACACTCACAGCAGGGGTTCAATCCTGAAGTCCTCTGAGCTGCTTTCAGAAAGCCAGTCAGTAACACGCCAAATAGGCACACAGTAAAGATACCATTTCCCTCAAACAAGTCATTCAATCTCGCCCTGAAACAGACAAGGAAGCTGGTCTCTGATAGGTCTTTGAACTTGGAAGAGAATCTCATGTAATAATGACGTTAAATATAAAGTGAAGCACTCAATCTGAGCATGTGTAACACTTTTTTTTGGAGCAGTGCTCAATCCCGAAAAGACAGAAAAACTCAGGGATTCTTAATGAGATTGAAAGCTGGAAATCACAAGTGTGACTGACAAATAAAATGATAATAAAATAAAAACACAAATTTATAACATTTCCATCACCTCTGCATTCATCCCTCAATCTAAACTGCTGCCATGTCTTTTCTTTCTTATATTCCCTCCCTGAGGAGGCTTTAAAGTGCTCACTTTCTTTTTATTTTTTTTTTAACACAAGGAAGTCCTTTTTTTAAATTTAGGAAGTGCTTTCATGGAAACTTTACGAGATGCTCTTTACTGCACCTTACCCAGTTTTAAATACATAAAGACATACATGTTTAATACTTCATTTAAAACAACATGACCCTTTGTGTGGTGTACATTTCTACTTCTTTCTTTTGGTTCAATTTAGTTGCGTTTAAAATAGTTTTCATGCTTTCATTGCATCCAAGACAGAAAGTCGAAATGGGGGAAAAAGGAGAATATAATAGGATATAGGTTACGTAGGATTTAAAGGAATAGTTTGTGAAATTCACTCATTCGATTTATTGCCTAGATATAGATGAAGGTAAGCTGCACGGCGGCTGGCATGGGGAGCCAAGAGATGGTTAGCTTTGTATAAAAAAAACAAGGAAAAAGTCGTGCTAAGCTAGCAAACCGGCTGGTAGATTCATACACACTGCGCAGACATTAGACTGGTATCAACCTTTTCATCTAAGTTTGGTCAAGAAAGTAAACATGTGAATTTCTGAAAATGTCAAACTATTCCTTTAAGAGTCATTTAGCCCCTACTGTAGTGACAGGGATAAAGATTACATCAGCTACTAAAGGTATGAAGGGTTCATCTCCAAAATGTTTTATATCCAGCTCATTACCTTTTTGTTCAATCTTAATATTTAGACTATCATGTTTGTCCTTTTTCCTCTTGTCTACCTTAGGTTTAAGCTGCTTCTTATGTGTCAAAAAATGGACTGCATTGATAGTTTGAGTGATCAGTCATCATGTTAAAGTGGCTGTAACTTTGTTTCAGATGTTGGATATGTCATTTTGGAACAAAACTCTTCGTTTGTAAACTGTACCCTGGTGGGGCTAATGCAAGGCGGCATCCAAATGCATTAGCATTAAAAAGGCAGTCTGGCTGCAAAGAGCCAGAAAAGAAAAAAAAAGAAAAAAACATAAGAAACATACACGTGTGGAATGGTAAAAATGTCACATATTAAAGTACACACCTGTACGCACACGCATGCATGCACGCAGTCACATACACCCTCTCATTCACACACACATGCGCGAATATAATCGCGCAAAAAGCAGAATCATACTTGCACACTGGACATGTCACAGACATATCTGGCATGCATTTTTTTTTTTTTTTAGAAGAAAACACTTTTTGTTAGAAATTCTTTAACTGGTCTAGAGCTCTGATAATTTCTGTATGTACATAAATTAACAATAAATATAGGTTATGTTTATATATTTTGAAATATATATATTAAATAATGAAATATTCTTATATATTTCAAATATATTCATAGAATTATTTCTAATTCAAACATATTTCAAGAGATATAGTCACAGTTCAGTAATAAAACATGTAAAGAACACAGGTCACCCTATCGGCCGGGCTGCAGCGTCCCTTTTCTTGAAATGAATGTTATGTGATCAAAGTCAAGCCTTTGGGTTCAGGCGGATACATTCTACTTCATTCATAAGGGGCTAATGCAATGTAACGTAGCTATCACTGTGGCAGGGGCAGCTGATGATGTGAATTGTGTGTAAGGTTCAAAGAACTTTGCTTGAGTCTCATCAGTATCTAGATTTGTCTAATAAATATCTCATCGTGATGGTCTAACAGGGAACCAGCCCTGACCAGAGACCACCCAGGACTGAAGCTGAGCTCTCCCTCGCTACAACACGTTTTCTCTCCCCTGCTTGTGGGACGATCACTGCGCTCTGATCACACTGAGGTCTACCAAAAAAGGGGACACTGCAGCGAGGACCTCTAGGGGACGATGGGTTTTGGAACAGTCTTGAGAGTGTAGAAAGCCATTAAGACTGGAAAGGACCGCCCCCTCTCTTTGACTTAAAATCTCTGCACGTCTTCTGTTCTTCTTTTTTTGACACACATGAACTGGAATTGAACCACGTTAACACTGACTGAGGGGAAGTTAGGTCGTCTAAATGCATGCAGTAGTTTCCCTTCTTCCTCTCTGCCGCTGTCTTGAGCGACACGGCTTACAGTAGGATGCACTTGGAAAATAAGAGAGTAGAAGGAAATGTTTTTTTCCCCACAGGTGCAGAGAAGGAGCACCATCCCACAATGCCTCAGTGATGTTAGGGACACCTCAGTTCCTGTGTGTGGTAGGGGGGAGCACTTTCTAAGTATGGTCTCCTACTGGGGGGTTTTTCACCTCTGTGCGCTGGAGACGACTGTTCCCCCACTCTGTGTCTTTTGGACCAGCCCACTGTTGGTCCCACCTCCCCCCACCTCCCCCCTCTGTCCGTCCTCTGTCTTGCCGCTGCCTGCATACTGGTTCACAAACAAAACAGGTCCTATATTGCACAGCATGCCCTCATATGGCCTTGGTGATGGTGTGTCAGTGGTAGCGACTTCTCTTCTCTTCAGCCTCGGAGCTGTAGTCCCTTAAACCGATGCCTCGCTGGAGGTTCAATAAAGAGTCTTTCATCTAGAGACAATAAAACACATGAGTAAGAGACCAGCTTGTTCATTAAAAACAGTATTAATAATAATAATAATAATAATCTTTATTTATAGAGCATATAAACAAGGCAAGATTAAGGAATAAAAATAATTTTAAAATATAAAATCCCTTTTAAAAGAACTGTAAAATACACACAATTCTTTTAAAGGAATTCTAAAAAGTGAAAATAGTAACAATTTAAAATCAACAAAAATCAGGAAAGGCTCGCCGGAAAAAGTGTGTCTTCAGAAGGGACTTAAAAGAGATGACTGATTCTGCCGACCTGATCTCCTCGGGCAGATCGTTCCATAGTCTTGGAGCCCTCACATGAAAATGCTCTGTCCCCTTTTGTTTTTTAAATTTTGCATTTGGAACCACCAGGAGACCTCTGCCCGAGGATCTCAATGTGCCCGTGGGTTTGTAGGGTAGTAAAAGGTCTGATAAACAGCTGGGGGAAAGGCCATGGAGAGCTTGAAAAGTAATCAGTAAAATCTTAAAATCAATTCTAAAAACACACAGGGAGCCAGTGTAGAGATGCTGAAACAGGAGTGATGTGGTCATGCTTTCTGGTATTATCACTGCCCTACATTAATATGGTATGAGGAGGAACTATTGATGTAACCCCCTTTCCTATCAGTGCAAAAGACTGCAAGACTGTGGGAAAATTCAGAGAATACAAAAATAAATAAATCACTTTTTAATAAATTCATTTCACCAGGAATGCTGTGAATACATCTTCAGCCTTTAAATCCCCATCCAGACATTTTTATATATCATTACCTGTTGATTAGACTTCCTCCCATATTACAAATCTCCTGCACCTTGAAGGAAAAGAACGCGGACCTTTGTGGTAACTGTGTGTAACAGGCTTTAGATTTTGTGATCCATTCCCCATAGGCTCTAACTGAGGGCCAGTGGAAAGCAACTCATCTGATTGGATATTGATTATTGGATTGGCTCAAATCTAGAAAATCACTAAGATTGGATTGCATCCCATATCATTAATTCAAGTTTAAGATCTTCATGGGTCTATCTGGACCTAAGTTTAATGTTTCAGTTCAGGACTATTTCATCACAGGTCTGTTAGGATTCTCTCTTCTTGATTGGTTTCTGTTTGACATCTGATGAGGTCTGACAGTTCTCCACTGAAAATAGAAGCAGATGTTTGTTTTGTATGTTTTGTTTTTATTCTCTTCAAGTAAGAATTACCATTAACAGATCCTGTTATGGATGTTTTATCTCTTAATTCTTTATATAGATAGTTTGCTAAATTAAAACATGTAAACCCATGCAAAACACTGGTAATGAAGATTTGTTAATTTTTCATAAAAAAATAAATCTAGACCAGACTTAAGAAAAATTATATGCTCTGAAATACCACAATATAATAAAGTACTAGATGTTCCTTTGTAGCAAAGTTGATATTTTAAAAAGAGGAACATTATGAGCAAATAAATTAATAAATAAACTCAGGGCTGAGTAGCTCAAGTTTACGAGCTTTCAGCTTCTCCCCTCTGGACGGAGGCTTTTTAAGGTGCAGAACAAAGCGGTCCAAAAACAGCTTTGTTCCTGCTGCTAGCACTGAACAGAACAAGCTGTAGCCTTATTTGCACATAGATTTTATTTATTCATGAGAGAGTTGGATGTGCGAACTCCTCGTTAAAAACAGTAGAAAACATATTGCCTTTCCAGAGAAAGTCAGACGCTGACAAATACTACACTTAGCAAACAACAAGTCTAGCTTTGGTACTAAAATAACTCTGAAACAAATCAGAGTGACGGGTTTGTTTTCTTTTGCATGGTTGAAATTGATGACATCAGATTACACCACCATACCAGTTGGGTATTCATTCTCGGGGAGGCGTTAACAATTTGGGATCATAACACAACATCAGCCAGAGTTCGGATGTCATTATTCAAAAAGTCTCTGAGTGTGTGCGTACCTGATCGAGGAGCACTACTGACGACTTGATAATCTCCCTCCACTTCTGCAGCTCTGCGTCATGGTAACGCTGCTGAGCCTCCAGGAGCTGGGACCACTCCATCTGCGTCTGAGGCAGTTTACTGGGACACACACACACACACACACACACACACACACACACACACACACACACACACACACACACACACACACACACACACACACACACACACACACACACACACACACACACACACACACACACGTTAACAACATCAGGGTGCAGCAGATGAAGCATGCCTTCATTTTGAGGGACTGCCAACAAACAGTTTGCTAAATTGTTTCAGCGAGCCCTGAGCTGTTCCGCGGTCATTTTAGCCGCTGGTGTTCACATCATCAGCCATGTGGATGTAGTTAGGCCTGTGTGTTTAACAGTATCTGTGTGTGTGTTGCATAATAAGTCTAGAACTTTATATGTGCATATGTGTCCGTCACCAGCCAAATAACTACCACAGGACGCCGTTACGGCTTATTTCTGCAGAGATAGGCACCATGTTTGGTCACAGAATCAAAAACATGTTGAATCTGCGTCACAGAAACGTTGTGTTTAGGTGTGTACCTTTCATGAAGCCGTAACCCTTGCCAGGTTGTTAAGGACTGTGCAGAGTACTCCAGCATCCACAGCTTGTAGAACAGCATCATGTTGAGGAACACCAGCAGGACCAGGCTGAGGAAGTGCAAGACGGGCACAAGAGGAAAGTCAACAAGAGAGTACTCTATGCTGCATTTATTTTCATTCTGGATTCCCTTAGTCTGTAAACACCAATGAATCTATGTATCTGGCTATGCTGGCTAATTAGATTATGTACCTTAGACAGATCCTATGGATGGCAATGGAAGAAGAGGAGAGAGAGGTTACATTTATTGGACTGACAATGAGTTACTTAAAAGACAGCCACACAACCGTATTAGTGAACGAGACAAGAACTCCACAAAACAAACAGGAACAATTGATGAAATCATGAAACAATTAGCACGGAGAAAATTCAGTTTGACGCAGGATGGAAGTGTTTTTACATGGACATGTGAGTCATCTCAGCATGTGTCTAACTTGTATTTGCACCATCATAGCCAGATATACAAGCATTCCTATATGTGTGATTGTGTGTGTACATGTGTGTGTGTATGCGTGTGTGTGTGTTGTGATCAGCTGCTTACACAAAGCTGATGATGAGGAGCAGTTTGGACACGCTGTACAGAGCCAGGCCTCCTGCCAGGTGATGGTGTTCTGGACTCTGGTGTCTGGTTTGTGTGGAGCCTGCTACGTGCTTGATCCTCTGGATCACTTCCTCATCTGTTGGCGTGGTAACGGGACTGAGCGCTTCGTCCAGATGCTGGCTGCGCATGTGGGGCAGCGGCCTCTTCTTCCGCCTCACCGTGGAGTTTTTCACCACCTTGGCCTTTGGAGATAACTGGTGGGCCTCTGTCAGGATGTCCTCCAGCTTGGACAACTCCAACTCTGGGGTGGAAGAAGACAATTGTCACACATTCACACCACACCTCACTCAGGTCCAAATAAAAATGTTTAAATCATTTACACAGCACAGTCTCCATGGAGAAACTGTTTATGTAATTCTCTATTTATCTATTTTATATCTTTAGTAGTAGCCCTAGAGGTATTTCTCATCCCTGTTCTTTATCATTTTAGGAATCATGAAAATGATCATTATTTCATTTCACAAACAGACAAGCAAGCAACACTAAAGTTTACCTAAAACGCGGAAGTTCTCTTCTAGCCCGCTCCAGAAGTTTTTTTCTATGAAGCCTTTCACCAGTCCCCACGGCTGTTTCCTGTAGCGCAGCTCTGTTGATACCCTGCAGAAAAAACACATTCACATATATAAAAATAAACAATAAGACATTTCTCCAACAAAAGTCTCATTAGTCGGGTGTGAGCTGGAGTTACTTGAATATTTGGCTTTTTCCCCCACAACACTTTGCTTTTCTTCAGCTGATAAGTATTGGCAGGAACCTGGGGAAAACTGGTAAGACATGCTTGTGCTATATCTTAAAATCTTCCTTTGTTTGTGAGTATGATGTCACCTCATTGCACCTTATCATTTTGTCATTTTGTATACTTTGCAGAATACAGAGGAAAAATCAAAGGAAGAATCTTGGCAACATCTTTTGTATGCATGGTTTTAAATATGTATGTTTTACAGCTGTAAAGCAGAGTATGTCGATGCATGCACTATAAGGTCCCCTGAAGACATTAACATTACACATTGAATATAATCTCCTGACCTAAGAGCTGTTTTACTCTTTTACTCTCTTATGATACTTTATGTCTGATACATCTAACAAACAGACAGTTTGGCCAGAACCAGCTTTTTGGGATATAATGGTGATGTGTCTCACTCCGTGAATGGTTATCTGATGACATTCCCACATTTCTGAAAATTTTGAAAATTCTTTCTTTCTTTCTTTCTTTTTTTCAACTTCTTGTTTATTTCAATTTTTGGCACAGTACAGAATAAAGAAATAGCATATAAACAAAAAAGCAGAAAAACACACATACAAGACACCCTGCCATAGGTAAGGTTAAGATAAAGGCTTTTTATTTTTTAAATAGATTTTTTATTGCATTAGCAACGTCATGGCTGGAATGAATTTGGGTTTTTGAAGCCTCACTGAGTGTATTATTTGTTCCATTTCATATATGTCCCACAATTTCTATATCCATAAGTCATAGGTGAGGGGGTTGGGCTTCAGCCAATTCAGCGTGATACATTTCGCTGCTGCTGCAAACAGAATTTGAAGTAAGTCATTTTAGCTCCTTCCCCCTATCCCTTCAGGTTTAAAAAATAATAATAATTCAGAGATTTCAATCTAGAATTTCTTGGAGTGTCTGGGCATGTCTTCCAGGTGGCCTCACCCTGCTGTATATACTCTCTTCTGAATGAGACCGATTCAAAAAACATGTTGGTGCTCAGAAGATAAAACACTATGTGGACACCGGGCTTTGAGTCTTACTCACCGTAACCGACACTTGTTCTTGGCTACCCTGGTGAGCATGTAGCGGTTGAGAGTGTAGAAGTAGTCGTGGTAGGGCACGTCATGTGTGATGACCTCAGCGTCGATGATGTAACACTCGCTCTCCTGACTTGCTTTGTACAGAGTCTGGTTAAACAATAAAAACGTGGTTTAATTGAAACACTTTCAAACTCAAGGAGGCATAAAGAAACAATCAATGCTTCTTGAAACAACAAGAATAAGACTGTACTTGTGTCTCAGTGACTGTGGCTGTTTTCGGGGCGAGGGGGTTGGAGAGCGAGATGGTGTACAGGATCTCTCTGGTCTGGTTCCCCGCCTCCTCCTTCTTCCACGGGTGGTATACGATATCTAAATTAGCAAAATGATGAGAGAGACAAATGATTGAAACAACTAAAACGGCAGGGGAGCATTTTCACCACATCTCACCATGATTTTTTTCTGACGTCACTTTAAGAGGGCTTTCGTACTTTCAGAAAACTCCTTAAAAATTCCTTGAAGAAGAGTTTCTCCTGCCAGCCCCCTGGTAATTTTTTTCTGCATAAAGTCAGAGTGAGCTGATGTGAGAACGCAGAACTCACTTTCAGAGCCATTTATGGTGAGTCCCCAGAAAAATCTGTAAGAACTCAGTCACCCATAGTCACCCACCCGTGCATTGAGGTCAAACACCCTAAACCTGCTGTCTGTCCCACAGACACATTTTAAGACTTGTGTGTTTTAGGCCATAGCACCAATCTTTTGGAATTCCCTACCCATCTCACTACTTCTTTCTGACTCTGTTGAGTCTTTTAAAAAGCAGCTAAAAACGTTGATGTTTCAACTTTCAACTTTACTTTAATGTCCCCGAGGGGAAATTTGTTTCGCAGCCAGGTGAGAACAACTATGAGAAGAAAAAACAAGAAAAAACAACAACCACATAGAACACAGGCACATAGAATATCAGACAATAGAAACAACAGACACCGTGAGAGGCATTAAATACAGAAATACAGGAGTTCATCAAGTAACAACAGAAGACTGAGAATGTATAAAAAACTTCCATAAAACTATCATCAAAACCAGAATAAAAAACCCATTATCAGTCATCAGGGTCGTCATTGGAGTTCAGAAGCTTGATGGCCTGAGTAACAAAATAATTTTTTAACCTGTTGGGCTTTGCTTTTGGCAGTCTGTATCTCCTGCCTGAAGGCAGAAGCAATCCCCCTCCCCCGTCCGACAGGGATAGTCTCCTGCTATGAGGTGCATATATGAACAGCCAGGTAAGAAGAATTTCAGGAGCAGAACTGCAGCTATTTTCAGGATATGTAAAAACGGCTTTAGTGTGGGAGGATCAAATGATGGTATAATGTTGTTCTACTGTATTTTAGAAGGTTAGTCATGAGAATGTAGGTCACCTTACAGTTTTCATTTTGAAAGGATGTTTGATAGTGAAAACTCACTCAGCGACATCAGGCTATGTTTAAAAAGTAATACAGCATAGTTTGTTCACCCATGTATCGCTGAACACTACCACACTAAAATAATGTCTCTTCAGTGGTCTAATGGTAGATAAGTTCTTTAGGAGGTGCATGCACATGTTAGCTGTTGTCTGAACACAGTTAAGAGGTAATTATTCATTTTGTTTTTACTTGATATAAGGATAAGATCTCTCTTCGGATCTCAGTGTTCCTTGTGTTTAGTAGCTGATGTGTCAGATAGCCTAAATTTATGTGACTTACAAATCGAAAAGCACAGTATGTAAATTCCACCACCAGGGGGCTCTTAATCAAAACAAAAACAAAAGATGACGTTGAGGCTAGCGGAGAGTGATTCCTGCTACTCAATTCCGCACCCCCGGTGAAAAAAACGAACATGAGTTGACCGTTGTCGAGATAAACGGGCGATAAAACTGACCAGAGGAAGAGAATATGTTTACTGACGACGTTTCCAAGTTTCATTTACATTTTTTTTTATCACAGCAGCACATACAGCAACAGTAGCAGATCCAGCTTCCTTATGCAGTAGTATTTGACGAAACATCCAGTATTTCCACGACAACGATAAACATGATGGTGTCTGTCATGGCCGCTCTGTCATGGCAGCCACCACAACAAGACACATACTGTTACAACCATAACTGTATATTTTTGGAGCCTCCCAATATAGGCATGATGTCAAAAGGGAAATAGCTGCTGTGTTCATTAAGTCAATTTCCTTTCTTTTGTTCTGCCCGCAGTTCTAGCATTCTAAATACTTGCCTGAAAATCGTCTCTGCTCCATGAATTCAGTCATGAACTGTGACTCTGTGAAGAGGACGTCATAGAGCTTGTCCACGCTGACCTTGTAGATCTCGTTGATGTGCTGCCTGCCATTCAGGTCTTCATGAAAGGCCTGCACCTCACCTACCGGACCAAGAGATGCACAGACACTATGACTTAGAAAGCTTTTTTTTCTTTTTTTCAAAGTCAACACATTGTTTGAAGAATCATTAAAAAGTGTTTATTTTGCTCTGTACACGTACCCTCATCATGTGTTTCTGAGGAGTCACTGAGCTCAGTGGGGAGGTCTTCGTTGTCGTTGAAGTCCAGAGAGGGGGAAGGGACAGGACCACCAGGCCCGCTGGTGTCATTGTTCTTCTCTACCACCAGTAGCGGCACAGCAAGCAGCTCGCCGTCGGCTAGGCAGTCTGCATACTCCTCTGATGGAAGGGCAAACTGGGGAGAGAAAAAAAATGGCATCATTAGTGACTCCATGTTAATCAAAGATGTATCCCTTTAAGGACACAAAGAGCACACGTGTGTATTTTTGTGTTTAAAGTCAGTGTACGATATGTATAGCTTACTGTAATGGGCGTGTCATGGTTGCCTGGGCTGGGGATGGTGCAGTTTGGGACAAGCTTCTTATGTAACAGAGGAGGGCTCCCCTCAGGTTTGGCCTCGGTGCTGCTCTTTGACAAGTTGTCGTTGTTGATCTCGTTCTCTTCGTTGGGAATCTCTTCACTGAACCTGATGGAACCAGAGAAGAGCGACAGGCCAGACATTTAATCACTTTTCTGTATTTCATTTAACATTTTTTTCCCCTCATAAAACATAAGCCAAGTACTGTTTGCAGACTTTTTATGGTGTTATTTTGCTTAGCTTGTCGGTTGGTGGACAGTATTAGCATAGCATTTGTTAAAACCGATATCATCATATTTGGACCATCACATTTAAGTTGGCTTAAAATACATTAAAACAGTATTCTTATTTGAAGCCTATAGAAGTAAACCTGATCTGCACTTCACTGTACTTAAAGGTATGCAGAATAATTCATCTCCAGAACATAATCTCTTCAAGACCATAATGACGCATTTCATTTGACCTCTGATGTATTTTTCTCGATAGCTGATCATGCTCAAGCTAATCATTGGGATCTAATATGAGGTCCAACTTTTCTAAAAGAAAACATGACAGAATAATTCAGACATAACAAGTGCCCTGGAGAGCAAAGAGATCTGAACCTACACTCTCTATTGATTCCACCTTGTAAATGTAAATGAAGATGTAAATGAAGGAAGAGGCAGAACAAAGATTGATCAGCCATCTGACTTCAGAATGCAGTATTCATTACTGAACTTGTGAGTGTTGCTCATATTGGGCTCTCTGATTACTTTTGTTTAACAGACTGAAATGTGTTTATACAAGTATCCATGGCAACTGATTCAGGTGTATAAATACTCACCCCATGGTGTTGAAGTCATCATCAGGAGGGACATAGTCTTCATCGTCGCTTGTCAGGCCGAGCTCGTTGCCATAGCACTGATGGACAAAGTGCCAGAGTTCTTTTGGACACAGAGGCTGTAAAATGCATCAATCAATTATCAATCAATCAAGTAAGTGATCAGACAACTCCAAAACAAATTGTTTTATCAGACAATACAGTTTAAATATGAACCTGAAACTATAACTAATTTGTTTGTTTGTCCTTCCTAAAGATGTTAAATATCGTAGAGAAAGGGAAGAAAACCTTGATGGAGGGAAACATTTATGAATTTATGTAACACAGATCCAAGCTACCTCAGTTTGACTTCAAGCTACTTTAAACAATTTTAATACATGTTTCTGTATTGTAAGTGTTATTTTTAGTATTTCCACATCACTGGGGGACACAACCTTTTTGACATCACACCACTTATAAAAATGTAAAATATTGTCATCCTTATGTTGAATATAAATATGTGTACTGTATGTTAAGACATGATGACAATAAAAGGTAATAAATATGAACGTGACACTAGCAGATCAGATGTGCTTACCTTGTCCAGCAGTGCATTCTGCCACAGTCTGAACATCATCATGTAAGTCCTGTCCCTGGCTCCAAATGAGGTGAAAAAGTGCTGCAAAAAAAAGACATTTAATTATGTACGAGTCTCGCTGGCACTGGAGTCCAATTCTTGAGGAGCACAGTTAAGAAAAAAAAAAAACTTTTCATCTGGGATTGTTTTAATTTGCAGTGACATATTTTGCAGTCACGGCATGGCATCAATATCTCGCCAACGGTTCTCCAGTCACCAATTTGTGACAGGAACATTTCCCCCTTGTCGGTAATTAAGATGAAATCATTAATCTGTTACCAACCGGACTCTGTAGTACCTCAAGGCCTCCCTTCTGTCTCCTTAGCCAAAGATGATTAAATCTAAAACAAGTTCCCTCTGTGCTCTTAGGTATGACAACATTAGTCACTCCCCTGTTTGAGATGGAACTACAATTACCACCCCCCCACCCTTTAAACCCCCTTTTACCTTCTCAGTATCCGTAGAGACCTGGATGGCATTGGGAATGAGGCGGGCAGTCTTCTCTTTTGTCATCGAGCAGATGTCTTTTAGCCGCACTGTTAGCTTCACAAGCACAAACACAAAAGCACGCAATTTAAAAAAATACACACACATGACAGCTCTACATTTAAACCCTATACTAACTACATACAACATACACAGGAAAACATATAGAGCCAGAGTGTTGACAAGCATACCAGGGTTTCCCAGCGGAAGATGTTGCTATAGAAACAGATCCAGTTCTCAGAGAGGTAGAGTCGTCCCTGCAGTAGGATGTCCCGTTGAAGAGCACAGGAGTAGTCTGCAACAAGGAAGACAAAAATACAACCACACATGTTATATTAAGTGTGAAAATGACATCAGAGAGTGTATCATTCTTGATATAAACTTGCTAATCAATGTGTCTCCATCAGTAGATTATTCTGACAATTATTCTGACTACATTTTTGTCAAAACTGCAGCTCTCAGCTGATCTATTTTTTTAAATCTATTTTTTAAAATCTATATTGTGGTATCTATCTATTTGTTTTTTGTACATTTTTAATTTTTTTTAAATGTAAATTGTACTGTGTTCACTTTTGGCACAACTTCACAGACTACCATTGTGCAGGCAGGAGTGAAGAGGTCAAGAAGCAACACTTGTAGTGTGAAGATCAAATTTATTAACAAGTTAGAGCGACATGTTTCGGCTTGTGGCCATCATCAGGGTCAACCTCTTCAAGCCTTTCACTCTCCATGCACCTACTGTAGGCAGGTGATGCAAGTTGTGCCAGAAAATCCATCAACAGATTAGACACAAGATCATGCAGATATCCAATCAAATGAAAAGGGCATTTGAGAGCAATACCACCGAGAGAACTCCCTGCAGTGACTTAAGCATTCCCGTTGTGTATGTGTATCTTGTTTATTAGCCGTGAACTCTTCATCAACAAGCCATAACAGTCATTGGAAATGTATTCTCCCAGGCATTTCAGACAGACACAGTATTCATTCAAGAGCCAGAAGGAATTATGCAACAACAAATCACCTTGTGACACTATGTGTTGATGGCAGGGTGCAGTAAGTAGCTTTGACTGCTGTATGAAGTTCATTCTCAGGTTATAAAGTGCCTCAAGAATATGCTAGAGAAGGCACCTCTTATTAAGCAGTATATTTTACACAGACATATTTATTGTAATTTTCAATATTTGTTATCAATCCCTCTCTTTTCCGGGTTTTGTCATTTTTATGATGATAAAATGACTGAGCTACTTTAGGCTGCACCCTGCTGCTCTCGAGTAACCTCTGTTTGTCCAAGTTTTGTTCACTCACCCACAATGAGTCTCTCTGTGTCAGGGAGCTGCTTGAAGAGTTTCCTGAAGTCCTCATTTCGCTGCTTGTACGTCGGGCTCAGCACCTGCAGTGACAGGCCAGAGTCAGAAACACCATCACGCACACACTCTTCTTCTGCTTCCAAATAGCTTTCACTCTTCATGCTCTGCAGCTCGCTCAGTCATCAACGTTGTCTCTCTGTCGAGCACTGCAAGTCATTTGTTTCCATGAGTCTGTGGGTCGACCGTGTCAAAACCACCCACAGGTTTGATCAGAATGTTTGGTTAAACTTGTTAGCTTTTTGAATCCTGTGGGTGATTTTGACAGGCGCTTGGAGATGATGTCTAGTGAATGGCAAGCAGAGGAATGTGGACCGAGTTATTCTTTAAGGCTGCTTCATTAATGATAAACAAAGAAAGCACAAATCCAAGACATCAGCCTGCGGCAGATCATTCAGTACACATGCTGATGTGACTATGAGAATCTATAATACAAGTCCCATTGTCAAGGTTTTTGTGTAACAGAGCAAACGTGTCTGACAACAAGGCTTTTGGAGAAAGTGTTAAGACTAATGATGGAACCTCAAGTGTAAACAAAACCATCCATAGTTGTTTGATTCATGTTTTTGGTTCTGGCCCGGGAGGGATATCCTCTCTCCAACAACAATTACACTTTTTCTTCACTTTGGCTTCAGCATT